AAAATCAGTGCAGCTCCATTTGGGAGGGACCTTGCAACCTTGCACTTTCTGTGAATGCAAGCTGTAGAGGTGAGCACTGCAGCTTGTCTCAGGATATATTTATTTTGGCAGATACCTAACCTGTGCTGGTGGTTTGGCTTTCCTAGAAAGGAGTGGGTGCGGGGAAGACTGGTTCATGTTTTGGGTTGGTTTTTTTTTTAAAAAAAAAAAAAAGAAAAAAATCAAGCTTTGCTAATGCAGTAATGGCTGTAATGAAGTCACCAGGCCATGAGTTTGGTGCATGGCTGCGGGGCCACCAAGCTGACCTGGCGGCACAGCAAGCTAGGCTGGATTGCTTTGTTTATACGCTTGTTTTATTGTGGCTTTGTTTTATTGTGGCTTAGAGTCACGCAGAAATACTGGCAGCCAGAACAAAGGGTAAAAGCTCACTTTGGGTAAAGGGCTGCTTGCTGGAGGAGGACACATGACTTGGACTTTGCTGAGTGCCTCTCACCCTGGAAGGGTGGGGGGTGTTGTAGCTGCCAGGGTGGGACAGCTTTTATCTTCCTCAAACCCTTGGAAAAGGCTGCGTGGGTGCCTCCGTCTGTGCCTGGAGGGGTTTGGCCCAGACAGTGCTGAGAGGTGCTTCAGGGCTGTGACTTATCTCATGGTCTGACCTGCCTGAACTGAGTCATGTGAGCCCGGCTTTGAATAGCCTGGTTTGGTTTTTTGGGGTGGTTTTTGGTTTTTTTGTTTTTTTGGGTTTTTTTTTTGACTCTGCAGAGAAATGCCCAGTTAAATGGGACTTGTGGGCTTTGATTTCTGGGTGATACGGAGAAGACCTTCACGGCAGGGCTCTGCAGAGGGATTTTGCGGGCACTGCCCATCTCCCTCAGCTGCTGGGAGGAGGCTGTGGGATCCTGCTGATCTCCGGGATAATGTGGTCCAAATAGCTGGAGCCCTGCCCCTGGGAAAGCAGGCAGGGAACTGCCTCTGGCTCCAAGATCTCCTGATCAGGAGGGGTGGAGAAAGCACCTGGGTGATGCCACCTCCTCCCCAGCTCTCTGCCTGCGTGGATGCAGGCAGGATGCAGGCAGGATGCAGGCAGGATGCAGGCAGCAGCCAGCGGCGCAGAGGCACTGCGGGTGGGTGCTGCAGCACCAGCTGCAGTCATCGCTCCAGGTGCTCTCCTCCCTTGCCTGCTGTAGCTGCTCTGAGCAGCTCACATCAGAGCGCCTTCGGCCTCAGTGCTTCCTCCTCGCTGACTGGGAGCAAGGGGGGAGCTCAAGGGCTGCACTCAGGTGGCCCAAATTGCCTCTTTTTTTAAGCAACCAGCTGGCTGAACTGTGAAAGTCCTGCCCCGGGGTCTTGTGTGCTGGTGGGTAGCAGCTTTCTGGAGTTCTTTCTTGCTCATCTTTCAAGAAATTGCATTACCAGATACTTTGGATCCCAAAGCAGGGGATTGTTCTCAGCTCCTGAGTCTGCAGCCCAAGAGGAGGTGGAGCAGCTTGGGGGGGCTCTGTGCAAGCCCCAAACATTCTCGTGCCATCTGGAGGGTTTGCTAGGCTGAAGCTGCTGTGTCTTAAGAAGTCCAACAGCCCAGCTTTGCTTCTGTTTTCAAGCCAATAAGCTGTGGTGGGATGTGACCTGCGAAGGCAGCCTTTGCCAGGGTTATCCTGAAGCTGCGAGGCACCTCCAGAGACCTGGGGGGGTGCAGAGGGAAGGGATTTCCTGGGGTTGCTGAAGAAACTCCTCTGGCCCGTTCACCGTGCAGAAAGACGAGCAGATATCTGTCGGGTGCAGCAGCTGTTATGCAAGTTTGGTTTTGGTGCTGCTCTTTTGGTGGTGTTTAAAACATCCGTGGGGCTTTGGCAGGAGGGAGGCGTGTGCGGAGGAGATAGCGGCAGTGGGGGAAGCACGCACGCAGTAACGTTCCCACGGGAAGTGTCTCGCTGCTCGTATCTGTGGGGAGAGGGGGCTGATGGTGGAAACCAGCAGCCTTTTCTTGCTGTGCTGCCGCCGGGGTTGGTGTGCCTCCGGCTGCACGTGACTTGCTGTCGGTGGAAATTTGTTCTGCGAGTCCCGTGCCTGCGCTCTCTATATATAGATTTGCTGTACGTAGGGTGCTTGCTAAAGCTGGGGGGCGGGAGGGGGAGTAGGGAGGAATAAATCACGCAAGATTGAGGATATCTCCTTCCTTCTCCACCCAGATCTTGTGATACTCCCTGCCATGCAGCTGAGAGTATCAGCTCCTCTGCCAAAACTTCATGTCCATAGGAGACTTCATAGAACCACAGAAGGGTTTGGGTGGGAAGGGACATTTAGAGGCCATCTAGTCCAGCCCCCCTGCCATGAGCAGGGACAGCTTCAACCAGCCCAGGGTGCTCAGAGCCCCGTCCAACCTGGCCTGGGATGTTGCCAGGGATGGGGAATCTCCCACCTCTCTGGGCAACCTGTGCCAGTGCTTCACCACCCTCAGCGTAAAAAATTTCTTCCTTATATCTAGTCTGAACCTCCCCTCTTTCAATTTAAAACCATTACCCCTTATCCTATCGCTGCAGGCCCTGTTAAAAAGTCTGTCCCCATGAGATTGAGGATTTCTTCTTCCTTCTCCACCCAGATCTTGGGATAATCTGTGCCATCCACTGGAGGGTATCAGCTCCCCCCCCCCAAAAACTTCATGCCCCTAGGAGGCTTGGCAAGA